GTGCAAGCAAACATGAAAAATATCTGGTCTATGAATGTAACTTAAAAAACCAAACAAATTCAAAAACAAAACTCCAAAACACTAGAAAAAAAAAGGCTTTGTAATTGTAGTGTTACCTAAATTACTGATTGTTTTAAACTTTATTGCAGATTTTATGTAATTGGACAAATAACATCTGTGTATGTGCATCCATTTTGATTGTTTTTGTCAGCATGAAGGATTGTAGAGCTAGTTCAGACTGTATATGAAAGAGAGGTGAGCTCACTTGTCCTGTTCAGAACATGGCTAAAAAATTTGCCTAAAAAAATCTATGTGTGAAATGGAAAAAAAAAAAAAAAAATCCACTTGTCTTCAAAACAGTGTAGTTGATCTGAGAGTTGAGCTGATACCAGTAGGAAACAGATTTAGCCAAGTTGGAGCAGTTCTGTTATCCAACCTTCCTACTGCACTAAAAGTTAATTTGAAATAAAGGGAAAGTTTGCTTAATTTTAGAACCTCCAGGGTAGCTGATAACTTAAATGGACAAGACTCCATGTTTCTGTGAGAAAGTATGGAGTGTTTTAGAATTGGTGTTACAACAGGAGGGATACTAGAAAAACAGGAGTGAAACTAACCTAACAATAATAGTAATAATAATAATAATATGCATATTTGCCTCAGTGAAGTTTCATGAGATTCTGCTAAAGAAATGCATGTGGCAAATTTCCTATCAAAGAATTTTAAATACTTTAAAAAAATTGTATGATTATTTACAAACTAAATTAAATTATTCAATTTTAAATAGCCTCCATCTATTTCTTCTTTCAGTTCTCCTGTAATTTGGATTTGCTTCAAAATCTGCACAAAGGAAATGGTATTTGTAAAACGTTCTGGTTAGGCTGGAATTTGAAGTACTTTGTTTTCATGTTAGAATATTTATTCTTTTATAAACCTTTGATAAATTATTTCATACTTTTGATCTTGTTGGTAAAAAAGTTTGAACTGGCTTATGAAGCAAAAAGTTTACATTTTTAAACATCATCTCTTTCAGGAAAATTAAGTAAATATGTTCTACTTGTAGAATTAATAAATAATCAATGGAGTTACAAGCTGTGGAAGGAGCTCAGCTCTTAGTCCATCTTAATAATAGTTAAACAGGAAATGCAGATGTATAACATAGTTATAGCAACCCAGATTTTATGAAAATAAATTTTAGTCTGCTGAAGAAAAGCAGTGCACAAATGAATATGTGATTGTTATGAAGGGAGGGAAAAAAGAGGCATTTTAAAGACAACTGTAGAAGCAAGGTTTGGGCTTTTTGACTTTAAAACAACACAAGTGAAAGCTATACAGAATCAAAGAGCTGCAGTTGTCAGATGGGGCAATCATAATTAGTCCTACTTACAGCTTCTGGTGCAAGGCTGGGTTATGATGCTGGGCTGTGCACTCTGGTGGTCTGGGGTGGGGCACAAGTTCTATTCATCCACACTTGCAAAGATGGGACAGAAGAGGGTGGAATTTGTCTCTTTGGAGGCTGTTCCTTAATTCACTTCTGAGCATAGGCTAAACCTTGAAGAGATGTAACTTCAAGCTGGGGAACAGAACATGCTGTAATGGGGAAGGTCCAGAATCCCAACACAGATATATTTTTTAATTCAAACCTTCTTCAGTTGGGTAGGGCTGTCTACAGGTTGGAGTTAAAGCCCACTGAGATCTGGGAGACTGTTCTGTGAAGGGGGATGTTTTAGAGACTTTTCCAATAAGCCTCTGAAATGATGCACTAAGCATGTGCAAATACCAACTTTCAAAGACTTTAAGCACAGCCAAAGTAGAATATAAGACAAATATGTCTTGGCAGGTTTCAGGTTTTTGCTCAGAAGCTGGGAATTATGCAAACCTTCTTCAAACAGTCAAGAGATAATTCAAGTTTATTCTTATCCAATCCATTTATTGACAAAATGTATATTTTTATACAATGTAGAATTTTACTTAATTATTCTAAAAAGCAGTTTGAGACATTGCAGGAGGGGGAAAACTAAAGCTCAGTTATGTGACTGGCAGAGAAACAAAATATGTAAAGTAAAATTGTACAGTGTAATTTATAAGCACCTTTAACAATAAACTTTATTCCACCTAAATTGGATTCCTCTGCATTTACTAGAAAGCAGTCTTTAATAAATAGCTGCATAAACTTAGAAGTATTAATTAATCCTTCAGAGATTTCTTTTAAACATTTTTTTTAGTGCAGGAAAGCACATACTGAACCTGAACCTGCTTCTGATTAAGTCAGTGAAAGCAGGACTCTGATAAACATTTAGTCTGACAAAATGAATTCAAGATGTTGAAGTTATTTTGTCCATTTTACTAAGCATTTTTCCTGAATCCTCCATTCACTCGAAGATAAGATTTTACTAAGTCTGTTACATCTTCCACAGAAATTTTTAGGCTAAATGTAAACTAAATGCATCCAAAAAAGTGAATTGAATTGTATGTGTTACACAGAAGGCAACATGTGCACTTCTGTAAATAAATCACATAGGGATATATTAAAGTAATCCCTGTACTTGTTCACACAGGATGAAGCACCCAGGATAATACAATGTATACACATGGTTTTGTGAAACTTTTATTGGTTTGGATATCCTTTTTATTCCTAATAGACTACCAGTAAGGACAAGATGTCTTTTACTCCTGCAGAAAAAATGCCTATTTGTGAAGGCACTTCTTTAAAAATACTTTTAGTTAATTAACTTGCCATGTCTGTGGATGGGATGTAATTTGTTCCAAAAAATAAATTAGGGCACTAAAAATACTTCTATAAATACAAAACTGCACAGAAGCTTTTATGCTTGTTTGGAACAAAAAGTATTCATTTTACAAAATTTGATTGCTTATATTCTTTACCAAAAAAATGATAGTGGACCTAGTTTTCTGATTTAAAAAATGATCTGATTTGATTAAGAAAATCTGATACATTTGACTGTGAAAAGTGCTTAAAATGGATACTTCTTTCAAAGACTGTGTAGGTGAACCAGTGATTTTGCTTCTAAAATGCTGCTGAAGTATTTGCATCTGTGGCAAAGATATATGCCTGGCTGAAAAGAAGTTGTTGTAACTTTTATGCAAACCATGGGAAAAAAACACGTGTGAACTTTCTAAGCTGGAACTGCCCATTAGGTATCTGTCTGCTGATCATACTTCAGCAGGAAATCATGATATTTAAAACTGCCAAGTGAACACGTGGGGAGCATTACACTGTATATGCAGTGAAACACACATTGTTTATTTTGTGTAGCATTCTTCTGCTCCCTTAAATACATACAAGATGGAAACCCAAAGACTTTTTTTAACCTTTAGCAGCTATACTTGTACAGAAACTGCTAAACAAAACCTGGCAGACTTGTAAACAACCTGAGTTCACTTCATCTAAATCTGATCACATTTCCAGTAGGCAATAAATATAATGCACTGCTGACAGGTATGTAGAAATGCATATACAATTAGATGAAGAAATTTGGTTCAATGCAGTTCAAATCTCAGTTTATGCCTTTGCATTTCCTTGAATATGGCTGTAAAATTCTTACCTGCTGATGCATGGCCTGCAGCAATGCCGTTTTTTTCCTGCTCATCCAGAGCACTGCTGGGCAGGCTATCCTGCCAGTGGTTTAACCAGTGCATCTCATGGTTGACTCAGACATTTACTTGAGTAAATGGGACTCTGTTTTATGTGGCTTTGGGTAAAGCTTCTATTTGTTTTCCCAGTTGAGATATAGTATTTCCTACATTTTCTCAAATATATTCAAGACATGAAAGCTCTGAATCTCTGTCTTGGGTTAAATTAATGTAATGTGAGGGATTAAATCATCCAGGAGATCAGCAGAATTACAAGTACAAAAGCAAGATAATTTCATTTTCTGGAGGGGAAAGAATCCAGATTCAGCCAGCAGACCCATATTTGATGGAAAGGTAGGGGGGTTTCGTTTGTTTTTCCACAGAGGATGATATGTGGGACACAGAAGATAGGCAGTTGAAAAATGAACTTGTAACTAAATTCTTAAAATGTTGGGTGTTGCCCTTAACGATTTGCTATTGATTGTCCTGGTCAGAATATGAATAGCTGGGAGCTGTTGTTGTAATTAAACTATTGCCACTGTTCATCTTTTTCCTCTCCATCTCAGCCTTCTGCAATAGGGCTTTTACATCCTCTGTAAGTCAACCTGTTGGCCTTTAGAGTATACATATGGTACATCATTCTCTTGTTACATGTGGGCTGACAACTTTCCTTATCTATAGCAAAATTGTTTCTCTGGGGGAAAAAAAAAATCTGTGTAATTAATATATAAATGAAGCAAGGAGTAGGCGAGTACTGACTGCAAATTGGATTGCAGTTACCGGTCTAACAAGAAATGTTCCTTGTCTGCTCTGTCTTTGTCTGCGAAAGGCAGATGTGTTGTCACTGCTTACAGCCATCTCAGGCCCCCCACTGTAACTGCGAGGCTAGAATTCATTGCAGCCTAAATCCACTTGAAATGTTGCAACCTTCCCAGAAATTGCACAGAAGAAAACAAGTATCAAGAGATCCAAGAAGAATATACACATCTGTAGGAGTGAAGAAGTTGCCAGATGTACATGAAAATTCCGTTCATTCACTCGTATGGGCTGTTCCTGTAATTTAGTGTGAATGCAGTAACTGCTGGTGGTTGGAATACAGATAATGAGAGGCAGAAGTTCCTGTTCTGGTTTTCTTATGCACAAACTCTGTGGTGTGTTTCAGTGGCAGTTTCATAAGACTGTGTCACCTCATAATATCTAAAGGACAAGTGGGAAATAGTGGCATTGCTGCTGTTATCTACTTTCCCAGGTTTGGTAAAAAGCAAAAATGTCAGAGGAACATGCACTGATTTGTTAATCTGGATGCACTGCAAACTCTCCATATTAATTAAATAAATAAATGGCATTATAGAAAAAGTAGATTATTTTGGATACTATCACATTAATACTGTCACCTTGTTTTTTAATAGGTCTATGGAAATGCAGGATCTAGCCAGTCCTCATAATCTTGTTGGAAGTAGTGATGCATCGGGTAGTTCCAAACTGGATAAATCAAATCTCAGTAGCACATCAGTCACAACAAATGGAACAGGAGGTAAGTATAAGTCACAGCTGGCACACAGAAAGTTTTGGCTAGTTTTTAGTCATAGTCATTTTTAACCATAATTTCAAGAATAGCCATATACCTGTTTATAAATCCAGCAAGAATGATGAAAAATTGTCAGTTGTACAAGTGTAAATTTCTAATTCCAACATCACTTCTTTGATTTGCACCAAATGCGATAAGAGGCAGAACTGAAATAAGGTGCAAAGATTAAATAAGGAGAATTTTTTAAATGGTTGGTTTGAACACAGTGTTAAGTGTTTGCTTATACCTGCTGGTAATTTATAAAATTAATTGTATTTATTGTGTCATGCATCCTTGATGGGTAATAATAATACCCTGAGTTACATGTATTTATGTTAAATTAAAGTTACTATCAAGAGAAGTGCATCAAAATTAGATATTAGATGTCTAAATCTAATCAAATTAGATTAATGAGATCTAATCAATTGCCTAAGTCTAATCAAAATTAGACTTAGGTAATTTCTTTTTTCTTTCTTTTCTTTTTTTTTGCTGATGAATTCCATTCCTCGGGAGGTAATGAAAGTTGGTAATAAAGAGATTGTTAGATTTTCCTCAGCAGTAACTGGTCATTACTGCTGTAGGTGATACTGTAGCACTGCCATACAACTACAACACAGATATTCCAATGCTTTCAGATTACCAATTCTACCACAGCAGTGTGCCACATTCTGAGGTGCAGTCCATGAAAGTGACACCATGGATATGAGTCAAACTAGAGTTCCTTCTTTAGAGTTTATGCATTACTGTCTATTTTAACAGTTGGCACTAAGAAAATTTTTTTGTTTGTTCTTTCTGGCCACAAGGAAAATTCACTTACATTTTATTAACTTATTCTATTTAAATAAAAGTCTGTCAATGTCAATAACAAGTGAATGTGCCTGGGGAGGTAACTGAGCTCTGCAAAGAAGGGCTGAGCCTATTTTTAAACAGAATCCTTATTCCAGCATAAAGAGAAGAGAAAACTTCAAGCATGCTATTGAAGAACACTAGTAACTGGATGCCTCTGTATTATACAATGTGCATAAATAAACTAGTTAAAATAATATCCATAAAACCAATACAATTCTATTAAAAGTCTTGACTTAAAGTGCCAAAACACTGTTTTGCCTTGAAGACTATTCATTTACACTGAACAGACATTGGGAGAATGAACTGTTGTACCATTCCTGTTCTCAGGAGACAACATGACTGTGTTAAATACTGCAGACTGGTTGCTGAGTTGCAGTACTCCCTCCTCTGCAACAAGTATGAGAGACCCTGGTACAGTGCATGCGTGTGTGGTGTGTCTCCCTGACTGATGTGTGACATCTCTCTCCATTTGCTCCGGTCTTTTCTTATGCAGTTTGAATGTTTTCACCCCAAGAATTTTTTTCTACCCTTTCTCAAAGGCTTTTCCCACAGCCAGAAAACTGTTAGGAAGTTGCAACAAGCAGTTATCTTACAATGCTTTGAAAGTCGTTTGATGAGCAACGAGAATTTAACCTCCTTATAATTAGCTTAGCTGTCTACATGATCTGAGTGACTGGGATTGTCTCGTGGTGTTCAGCATTGCTGAGAATTGCCAGTAGTCAGCATTGGTGGAAATAAGACTGATGGAATTTTCACAGAATGCCCATTTGCTTTTCTTTTGTTTTTAAGTAGAGCATTGCATGATTACCTGAGCACAAGTCAAGGTTTACAGTATTGTCCTTACTCCTACTAAGACTTTCATTATTAATCAAAGCTTTTGTCTAATGTGCTGCCACATGTAACTTGCCACTTTACAAAATTTTGGTCAATTTTTCCAAGATGTTGTTTTCATTTATGAGTTTCCTGACATGTATTATTAATTGTCATAAGTTGTAAGCATTAATAATAACTGTATATGTGACATCATTGCAGTACATGTGGGAATAATCATAGATGTAAACATGGATCACCATGTTTCTCTACAAGTCATGACAAAGGTGCTTAAGTTGTGAAGGTTTAAGACTAAAGTTAAGAAGATTTCAAAAACTTGTCCTTTTAAAAAAATCCCTCAGAATCACCTTCCATTTGTAAAACATATGTGCAAAGAAAATTTACTAGAAAACAAAGTTGACTTGAACACAAAAGATCGTTTGCACTAGAATAAGTTGTTCAATGTGAACGGTCCTGCTCAATTACAAGATTTTAAGTTTGAGGAAGACTGAGATAACTTGGGCTGTCACCTCTTTTAACTGTTCAGCATGTTCAGGTAAATGTGGAAGATAACAATTTAAGTACTAATTATTAGTAGTGAGGAAATACAATGTGTTACTTGTATTAAATCTGATTTTCCATAGGCAGTAGAATATTTAGAATTGTGCTTCTTACTGAGTATATTCCAAGGAAAATTCTTAAGGCTTACTAAAAGAAAGAGGAAAATCATTCCTATGACAAGCTGTGTGGTTTATTGTGTTACGTGAGCTTTTAACATCAGATTTGTTTGCTGTAACTTCTGTTGCATTTGCTTGCCCTCCTTCACGCATAGTATTAGCACCTCTTCCCCCTAAAACTCTGCATTCATTTTCAGTCCTTAACATAGAGGAATGCTTTAGAGAAAATAAAAAAGTGGTCAGCAGAACAGCAGTTATTTTGATCTGCTAAGTCCTTTCATCGAGGTCTATTGTAGAAGCTGTTGCTTGTTGGGAGCTGTATTCTGAGTTAGCCTTAAAGTAATGAAGTTAGGACAAGATCCCTGGAGGTCATTTGGGCCAAGAACAGCTCAGAGCAGAGCCAACATCACTGTTAGATCATGTCGCTCAAGGCAGCATTGAATTTTCCTGCTACATCTAATTGGATTTTTCCCTTAGTGCAGCTTGTATCTGTTCCCATGTGTTGTTTCCCAGGGCACCTTTTGAGGTGAGTGTTCTTTGTCATCTTTTCACCTTCCCATTAGATAGCTGCAGGCAGCAATTAGCTCTCCCCTCATCCTCCTCTTCCTAGGGCAGAACAAGCCCAGTTTCTTGGGTCTCCTTGTACACCATGTGCCCCAGCACCTCTATCCCATCAGAAAGGAGAACACAGGCTGTCTTCACTGCTAGCTGCATTCAAATGCATTTCCAGTTAGAGGTTGCTTTTCATTTTATTTTCACTCTTTCAATACATTAAACAAACAAAGAAATTAGTTCTCTTAAACTGATGTTAGAATATTTTGGTTTTCCGTAATTAGCTTTGTGCTTTCTCCCTTCTTTGTTTAATGGCATACAGCATAAAGAAAAATAGGTAATAGTAAAAATCTCCAGCTACACAGAGGAAGGACCTTGATTAATTCCTTACTGGCATGAAATCTGGATGCAAAAAAGTAGAACTGTTTAAAGTCAAGCACATATAAAACCAATTTCTATAGGTATTTTCCAATAAAACTCAGTGCCAATATAATGTTTCTCCTCAAGTTAAGTACAGGAGAGAGTTTCTTTTGTTTTAGATCATTTGCTTGACAGGGAAAGAAAAAAGATGGTGTCTATTCATGCTGATGGCAGGGCAGTGCAGCTGGCATTAACCAGAACTAGACACAATTCTAAAGCAAACATTTCAATTCATGACTGAAGTTTTTGTTAAATATAACAGTTAAACACATACTGTCTTCTTGGATGCAATACTGAACATTTGTAGCTCACTATGGACAATAGTGAAATACCTTCTTGAGCAGAAAGAGATAAAAGTACTAAAAAGTACTTTTAAAAAGTGCTAAAAGTACCTTTAAAATTACATCTTTCTGAAATAATTATAGAAATGGGAAGGACTGATTACTCTATTGCTCTTCAGGATTTTTTTTTTTTTAAGAAAATAGCTAGCAAAATGAGGAGTGCATGACTGCTTGAAAAAATGTGGCTAAAATTCTTCCCTAATGATTCCATATTGAATTAATATCGTTCTGCTTGAAGGGAGACTATTTGGACATGTTAGTTTTATGAAAGAGAAATAATAATGAAAGGAAGTTTACATTCAAAAGACACACATTCAAAAGTTTTTAATCTCAGACAGTAGATGGACAGATACAACTGTATAACTGAAACCAGAAGGTATTACTTGGTTTGTTTGGCACTGGTGCACCAGTAATGCTGCAGGGAACTCTACCACTCACAGAGACAAATGCATCCCAATTTCTCCTGCTTGATCCAAACAGGTGTAGCTCTGACTTCAGCATAGGTCACTTGTACAGTTGTAGATGTCAGCAGCATTCCATGTGACTTCCTGAAGTAAGCTCCATTAGGCAGTGTGGCTGGAAATGGGCTGTGATTTTGTAGGAGAGGTAGCTCACACAGGGCTGGTCACAGGCAGCTTTGCTGGTAGCTGTGCAATTTCTAATGAGCAACTCATGGTGCTTACAGACACAGGGCAGAACAGCAGAATGGGTCTGTAGGTGTAGTTCTGGACATTTTTCCCATGAGAAAACGAAATCCTTTCTTTATCTCATGCACTCCCTTTTCCTCTGCAGGCTGTATGAGGGTTGGTGAGCTTGGGGGCAGCTCAGGCCGTACTTGGACTGAATCAGCCTCTGGAAGTACCTCTCTGTCTCAGCTAAACATAAAGGGAGATTAGTAGGCACCTTTTATACACTTGATTTAGGTGATTTGAATCTGTGCCACAGTTTTTAAATACATTGCCAGCTCAGAACATGAAATTCCCCCCTTTCCCTTGCTGTTGCCAGTGCAGTCAAATGTGGACGCAGTGATGTTGACAGATGAGAGCTTTGGTCAGCTTAGCTGAGGCCTCTCAGAGGCGTCAGGTAACCAGCTGGCAGAGAATGCTTTTCCTTGGCATATGTTAGGCCTGCTGGGGGGCTCTGTCAGGCTGGCTGTCACAGCAAAGGCTTCTTCACAAATCCCAGTGCCCTTGGAATTTGGATACCTGGCATGCAACTGTGGTAGTTGCTTGTGCAGGTCTTCATTGCCTCTTCACTCTGTGGCCCTGGGCACCAACCTGTGATATCCATAAGTGTGTGATGAATGTCCGTGCCCAACTTTAACTGTCCTTTGTGAAGAAATTGTGTTAATATTTTGAGGTTTCCCTATTTGCCAGTCAGACAGCTAATAGGACCTGCAGCGTATCATCTATTGCTGTTTCTTACCACATCAACTGGATGGTTGGGTGGTTCCCAAATTCTATTACAAAAGTCCATGCCAAATGTTCTGTCCAAGTAACATGCTTAATTACAAAAATCTGTATTGCCTCTGTGGTGCTTTTTGTGCTTTCAGTTACAGCTTGGTTGGTAAGACTGCATGATGATCCCTAAGGAATATATTTGAGTTCAGACTAGACCAAACTGTTTGTTAACCTTTGATTGATTAAGAAGCTGACTTGTCATGGCTGTCATCTGTGTCCTACTCTAGTTCCTTGGCTTTTTTTCTTTCAAACTTCTCTCTTCAGTTATGAAAAATTGCTTGTGGGTGACCTAGCTCAAAAAGACTTCCACAGACTCTGTAAAAGTGGAAAGAGAAAGGCAACATGCTGGCACTGTGAAAATAATTTGCTTCTGTATTAGTATGAAACCATAATTGTTCGTTATATATATAATTGTTTTAGTTGTCAGGCAAAACTATTTTTGTTATGTGTTACATCCCTTGATAGCTCATGTTTCCTTCCTCTATGCTACTCTTAGGGTATTGTTAGAATCAATTAGATTTATGTTGAAATCTCCCCAGAAGACATTCTACTTGCTAAAACTAGTAGCTGGATGAATGCACAGATACAGAACTGTGTAGATAAATGGGCATTCCTGTCAGATTCCTGTAGATTGTCTCACTATGGTGATAGAACCAAAGTTGAAGCTGTTGCACGTGTGCTTTTTTGAGCTGGACTACCACTAGTGAGACTGGCATGAGGACTCCGATACAAATCTAGAAGTAAAATCTCATGTCTACTTATTCTTCTATGTAGTGTCTCTTCTTGCAGTCAAAACAGAACCCATGAACAACAGTGAAACAGCAACAACAACTGGAGATGCAGCGCTTGACACTTTTACTGGGTCAGGTAAAGCCATAATAAAATGACATTTTGTTAGATGCACATTAATGCAGCATTTAATAACCATCACTAATGAATATCTGCATGGAAGCAATCTTCACAAAGCTAGTATAAAAAATTATAGTATTTTATACCTAATAATAATGGTAATAATAATAGTAGAAATAATAATAGCTATTTTATTTTTGTAAATGCAACTCAGCAATTTATGTGAGGTGTCATCTTAAAGAATGCCTAATAGTGATGCCTAAGACAACTGCTGTTTACAAAAGTCTCAAAATAATACTGTTATTATGGTAGATCTTTTATTATTACTGGAGATCTGTTTTCTCAGTGTGTCTTGTATGATATTAGGAAAAAAAAGGGATTTGTTTGTAACCGCCACGCTAATTTGAACAGTTTCAGATCTTAAGGTTTATACCTCAGTGCTAATCCTTTTACTCCTATTAGCAGTGTGCTAGTTTAAACACTGATCAGATTGCTGTGTTAGTCTCTTTCCACTGGGATGAGCAACTTTTTTTCCAAGAAAATGGCTTTACTTTAAATAATCATAGGCTTCAATTACTTCTCAAAAAATTCAAGCAAACAGTGGTTTAAGTAGATCTCTAGAAATTATTAAAATGTGATGAACTGTGGAAAAGTATGGATAATCAGCCTTCTAATGATTAAGTTGAATCTTGCTAACAATAATATTAAAAAGGAGAAGAGGGAGAATAAATTTTGCATCTGTAAATATGGTAATGGCCTGATAGAAAGGAAACACCAAAGCCATGAATCACCACTCCACACTGATGCTACTGTATATTTTGGAAATCACAATGTTTCTGTGTAATTAATTATTTTTTAATCAGATTTTAATCAGGAATTGTCTTGTACCCATCAGTTAAACCCAAAAGTTAATTATTCAGAAAAGTATTTATAACTTATTTAGTGCCTGAAGAAAATGTATTTTGTGAGTTTTAAAGTGTTTACTATTTCTGATTAGAAAAATGCCCTCATTTTAATTTTCATTGTCCTCATTATAATTATACTGAGAGCAACCTCAGCTTAAAGGCTAAAAAGTTACATAAAAATTAAATAGTCTGGGCTAAAATTTAGCTTTTCTTTTTCACTCTGTTTTCACTCAATGTTAAAATTTTATTAGTAATGATGACAAATCATAAAATATCCAACTCTATATATTATTTTTTCACTGTTGGTGAAGTTTTATCAGCTTCTGCCATATATTTAAGGCAGCTGAGTTTTATTCTATGGATAAGGCAATATTGGAGTGCCAAGAATTGAAGCATTCAGCTCAGGTTTAGATAACTAAGTAACAGCTTGATTTCCCCAGGTGCCACACAACCATCAGCTTCCACTGACTTCAAAAGTCTTGAGTTCTCCTCTCTTTGGATGTTTGGAAAGTTGGTGCCTCAAAAAAAAAAAAAAAAAGTTTAAAAAAAGAGCAGGAATTTGAGCCTTGCATAATCCTTTTTTGCCTGTTAGCCACCTGCGTACTCAAAAGAAATACGAACCTGATTCTCAGTTTAGTGCACAAACTCAAGCATTAAATGAGTACAGTCATTCTCAGTGGGAAATCAATAGTCTGCCTGTCTGGGTGACGTGCAGTCTTCATCATCAGAGTGAGACGCAGAGCTGCCCTGATAATGCACTCAGCCTTTCATAAAGATTGAATATGTTACTTTTCATTTGCCTTTTACTTGTACTCCAAAATCAGACATTTTTTTTTCCTCTAATCTTATGAGAGAAGTGCTAAAAAGTGGTAAAAACTCAGCAAAACCAGGATTTTTCTGAGTTTTTAGCCTAACTGGTTAGTTTGGAAGTTTAATGGGTTGCCAAAACCAGTAACTGCTGACTAGTAGACAGATGTTGTTTCAAATGAGCCACCTGTGACTAAAAAAATGCATAGCAAAACCCAACACTGAACAGTTTGTTTTTTCCTGAAAATGAGGGACATACATGTGTTACTCCCAACTACGGCAAAGTCATGATGCCAGCACTTCTCTGTATTTTATGAAATGAGACATGGGTGAAAAAAGAACTCCTGGTGGTGAGATGCATTTGAGAGTCTGACAGAAATCCTCTCCTTCAAACACTCTACCCATCAAAATTGATTTCTCTGCTCCAAAGGCAGTCAAAACACATGACCTGTTCTGGAACTGAGCAGAAGGCTCAACAAGCCATATGGGGTGTCAAGCAGTCATCTGTGTCCCTAATGACCAGCTCTAAGTGATGGCCAAACAGATTGTGTCAGGTATAGGGCAGGAGAGACAGATTAGACTTCACAGCAAACTGATTCCTGATTCTGTGAATGGTTGATTGAAAAGATAAAGCACATAGATATCTTGAATTTGGAGTGGCAGTTCTCCTGGGATCGCCAAGGCCGTAGCCCATGTGTTGCATCTCATGCTCAGGGCCCTGGTTCCCCTGTGCTGGAGAGATGTCCTTGGGACAATCTGTGCCTCTGGGCACGGGTTAGCCAGGTGAGGAGTCACATCGTGCACCCCCTTCCTCCTCCTTCTTCTTCAAAGAGGAGCAGCTGGTAATTAGTGTCCTCAGTTTGCAGCTCTGATTCTGCAGCACACTCCTACTGGGGTGGGCATTCACAAAACTGGGAGAGGTGCACAGCCCTTAACTGAGATTTTCATGCATTGTAAATTTCATGCACAGTACAGCAGCTGCTGTACTGTAATACTGTGCATATATTGCTCACAATAGTGGATTAATTTGAGAACTGTTTTATCGTTTTAGTGGCGTGGAGAGAGCTATTTCATGTTCTCATAGATTTTACTTAGTATTTATTACACTCACGTATAGAATACAGTTTATAGACATAGAAAACAATTTCTGAAGGCTATGAAGGTGAAGTTAGGGAATGTCACTGCAGTTTAACCTACATTTGGGTCCCTTGTACATAGAGATTCTGCATAGGTCCTTTTAACCTGACCTTTTTGCACAGAATTTTCCAGATTTGTAATGAAAATATATAAAACTCCAGCCCATGTTAATATACTGATCCCAACATGTTATTAAAACAGTAAATGGTCACTTAAATCCTCCACAACCACCTTGGCCATTTGAACTAAGAGAGTAACTGGTAAGAGCTGGCTGTCCGCTTGCCCTCTCTGTGAAACAGCGTTAATGGGGACTGGAGAGATCAAGGGTCTTATACCTGCCCTGAAGGGCATTCCTCTGGTAATTTCATGTTGTGAAGTCTTAGGAATATTTGAGTTTTTCAGAGAATAATTTTTTTTTTTTTTTTTTAACATAAGCAATACAAAAGAGCATTTATCTCTGTTCATACAATGGTTATATAAAGTACCACAAAACCCACAGGAACCTGCTTCCACCATCTTCCCCACTGCCAGCAGTCCTCAGAGAAGAGATGTTAGGAGGTATCTAAAATTTCATTATCCTTAGACTTAGCAGTTTCATATGTGAGATACAGGTGTGGTCCACAGGCTCCACACAGTCATAATGTTCTCTTATGATAGGCCTTACACCCTGTGATATTTCTCAAACGTCTCACAGTCTAAAATGTAGAGGACAAATTGCATTGACAAGCTACAGAGAAACAGTGAAAAGAATGGATTTTTTAGTCTTAGTCTTGCCTCTTTCTCTTGCTTACAACTGGTAGTATTATGAGGGAAAACTGGAGGTAAAAACAAGGAAATTTAAAACCAGACACATTCCAAAAGTATTTTATTTTCTTATCTGAATTTTAAAAATAAGGTATATGCTGAAAGAATAAAAAGGCAGGCAGGACAGGTTTTGCTGAAAAGTATTAGATTTTGATAACTCAAGTGATTTAAATGAATAGTAATTATTTTTTTTTGTAGTTTACATAAGGTGGAGTGGCATAGTAAATGTGTTTCAACCAAATTTATTAATTGATTGAGCTCTCATCCAGCAAGTGATCAGACAAAAAGCGAAGCAGTATGGCTAAAATGATCCGATAAGCCGATAATGGATCACAAAAGTTCCTTGCCCTGAGAACCACCAAGGTCACTCTGCTGCTATTGCTTGTCTTTAGAAAGGTCACAGAGCTACAACAGGGAAGATTAATTACTCATCAACCCTTAAATAACCAAGAGCATTCTTTAGGGCTCTATGAACCAGTTACGTTGATAGAACAGCAATAGGTTTGTCTGACTCTGGGAATGGCTGCCTGCACATGTAGCAGATTGCTCTAAATCACAGAAAGGCATTCTCAAAAAACCCCTCAAAAACAGTATCCACACAAAATGAAATTTAGCAGATTTCTATCACAGGCAAACCCTCAACATCTTTTCAGACAGCAACTCTTTTATGAAATCTAATGGCACATCTTTTAAAAGTTATTATACAATTCTCTAGTTTCAAGGCATTCTTAACTGCACATTTTAAGAAGTTAATTGTTTTTCTTCTAATGTATTTTCCTTTTAAGTCCTACACATTCTAAATACATTTAAACTATCTTTAAAAATATGAAGTTCTGTGTGTGTTCAAAGCAATAGATCTGAGAGACATTAATTAGGGCTGGATGTAGAAATGTATCATGTTTCATAAAATAGTTAGGAACCTAAACCTATTTGTCACTTATAAAATTCTGAATGTTCATTTCTACTACCATTATGAATAACTCAGGAAGAGGGTACACTTTGAAGTACAACTATGATTGATTAGACTAAAGAAATTCCAGTGCTTCATTGTGTACTACTTTAATCTTTTGAAAAGTGAATGAACAGCAGATGGCCTAATAAAGACACTCTGTATGTTTGCCCAGTATGGATTTGCTCTGAAGGGATTGGTTCAACACTTTAGAGTACATATATTTGGAATACATCTGTCTTAGTCAAGACAGATGGCTAAAGGAAAGGGAAACTTCCAAACACTTGGAATTAATCCAGTGTGAGCACTGCTTCTGGATGAAATTTTAATGGGTTATGACTATTGTTCTGTTAGCTTTCTTGGAGAATGCAGCTGTGAATAGTATATATACACACAATTTGGATGGCTACTGAACAGGACTGTTTATGCATACTTTAAAATAAAAATGCTCTTGTTAGGAATCATATTCTAAGTGTCCTGTTTATAAAGAATGGTAGTTGCTTTCTTGTGCTCAATCCAGTATCTTCCATCACCTAAGCTAACTAAAATTACTCACAACCTTATAAAACATGCTTTTTCTATCCAGTATTAAAATTGAACTTCTTGTTAATGTGAGACTATAAAGATATGTGTATGTTACTTCAATACCATGAAATATATTAAATCACAAGATTCTTTTTAACTACTCTTTTTAATACAACTTGCAAATTTGAAAGATCAACAGTTTGTGTGGATCACAGGTGATGTATGAAATACATGCCTCTGCAATATACACAGAAATGTGTTAGTCAAGTTGAGAAAGCATGACAGACCCATGCTAGCTAAAGAGTTCTGCGCACCAGTGAAATATTTGGAAGTTTGTAAATTATTTTTTTAAGATGTTGTGATTCTGGTGGCATCTGCTTCCTTGAAAAGCTGTCCATTTCAATAGGCTTCTCTGTTAATGTTGCTTCTTTAATTCACACTGTGTAGCTGTGTAGGTCTCATGGTGTTTCTAACTGCTGTACTCTTGTTTTCTGTTTTGCAGTAATAACAAGTAGTGGCTACAGTCCCAGATCAGCGCACCAGTACTCTCCACAGATATATCCCTCCAAGTTAGTGTCTGCACCTCTTCTAGTCTTTCATAGACCTTGGCTGTGGGCAGTTTTGTGGTTTGTTGCAAACAAGTGTTCAGCAGGAGAAACAGAGAAAAAGGAAAATTCTTAAGCCACGGTACTGGCTCCGGTACTGGCTCCCTCTCCAACTTTTTTTTCCTCGTTTGTCTACAGAGTAAGATCCTGCTTTGTGCAGTATTGATGCACAAGAAACACCCTTGAATATCAGCACACAACAGAAGTAAAATAATCAGACTATTGCATTCTCAGGCATCAGCATATTAACAGCATGTACAGGGAATCTATACAGATATATTTTGGAGAAGTCAGTTTATATATAGAAATCACAATTGCATGCACAAGTTGCATACTGGGGAGTAACCCTGTCCCTGACCCTTCCAAGGCCAGCATTGCCAAACGCTTCCAAACATTCCACAATCATGAGCCACCCTTTCCTTTTCCCTCTCCGATATTATAAGATTTAAAAATCAAATAAATTGGATTAGCTTTTAATCTTATTATTTTTAAGCCAACGGATGTTTTAGAAATAGAAAAATTTCTATGCGCTTTTTTTTTTTTTTTTTTTTTTTTTTTTTTTTTTTTTTTTTTTTTTTTTTTTTTTTTTTGGTGAGGGGAAATTGACTCTTGGGCAATCACATAATCCAGGAGTGGGAACTTTAAGAAGAAACACCAAAGATGTATGCAACTGCTGCAGTTGGCAGTATATTAATTTGCTTGTCCTGTGGTCAGTGTTGTGCACAAAGGTTCTTGATTCCAGTATGCCATCTGTTTGTTTCCATTGATTTGATACAGCTATCAGTGTGACTTTGGTACAGAGAAAACATTGAATCTAAAGATTCAAGAGCCTATTAGGCTCTTTCAAGTATTTTTAACAAATTTGCAATATTATGATTGTAGCCAAAATTTATTAATACAGAAAGTAGGTGCCTGAAGTAAGAGCCATCGTTCTACTTTGAACAGGTTTTGGCAAACTATATTAGGTATTTTTGGCCAAATACATTACAAGGTTTAATAGAATTTTCAATCTACTGTTACAATTTTTTGGCATCTAAATTAATGAGTAATCCTTTTCTGATAGTAAATGCTGCCAACTGTACTGAATTAATTAGAAAGAAAAAAATTTAAGAATTGGAATCTGAAATTTAGTCATGGCTTTTAATGGCTAGGTTTCAGTTAGCGTAATTCTGCAGAATGTGTTTATTCAACTCCTGGTCCATAAAGGCTTATTTGACTTACAAAACAATCCAAGAAAAATGTTTCTCTGTATATTTTTTCAACTCTGGAGGGCAAAAATTTTAAACTTGATTTTATTCAATCTCTATATAAAACCTCAGTGTTAATAAATAAAAGGCCATTTTTATTTCCATTCTATTTTCCTAGCCCATATTTTCCGAATATTTAAAGCCCATCTGGTTACCACAGTATTGATGTCGGTATTTTTTATGCTGCTCTCAATGGGTAAGATCCATCTCCCATTGAACCTAGAGGCTACATGTCTGTTGAAGCAGATCCTACACAGATGACATAATGTACTAGTTTCAACATTCACCTCTGTGTTTCCTCTACTCTTCTAGTCCAAGTTTCCCTCCACTGGATTAAAAAAAGTGGGGGCTTTTCTCATTGAAGTGTTCTGATCTCAGCTGAAAGATATTAAATCTGTGTAAAGACATGCAGAAGCAGCACAGCCCACCCAAAGGTGGACACAGTAGCTTAAGAATTGAATTGTAGTGATGGGACAGCATAAAATATTCACCGTGCCGTGGGGAATGTGGGACAGAGTGTCTTTCAGTTTATTTCAGTGGGGGATGGAATAAATCCCAGAAGAGGAGCAGTTGGCAGTATAATGAACTGCCTTTGGACATCTTTAAACCTTTTTCTTTACTTTATTGCTTGAATCAACATACAAAGTATTTGTTGCCACAGTAATGCTATTTTTCCTGATATTTAGGCCCTATCCGCACATTCTTTCTACACCAGCAGCTCAAACAATGTCTGCCTATGCCGGACAAACGCAGTATTCAGGAATGCAGCAACCAGCGGTCTACACAGCCTACTCACAGACAGGACAGCCCTACAGCTTACCCACTTACGGTATTTCACCCCTTATTACTCCACTTTACCTACAACTGAAAGCAATGCCGACTGGAATGTCTTTTTGCTTTCTCTTTTTGTTTTCCCAACTGTAACAAAATATTTTAAAGAATCAGTTGAAAATTAATTTCTTATACAGATTTGGGTGTAATGTTGCCAGGCATCAAGACGGAAAGTGGGCTCTCGCAGACCCAATCTCCTCTGCAGAGCGGGTGCCTCAGTTACAGCCCAGGGTTTTCCACCCCACAGCCAGGCCAAACACCCTACTCCTACCAGATGCCAGGTGAGTAAAATTTAAAGCGAAGTATTTCTTCCCAGTGTTAATAGACATATGTGTATTAATTTTGATCATCTGTTACTTCAGATCTCAGCATGGAATGCAGTCCCTGCTTCAGCCTTCTTTTGGATTTTTTAGTGAAGTGAGATCCACTAATATTTTTTAGTGGCAGGACTGGAAACACTTGTGATATTAACTAATATATGCAAGTCTCTTTTCCTTTTTTTTATGTTCCTGAGTATGACATAATTTGATACTTGTTTCTCCTTGGATTAACATACTTTTTTAGAATTTTTCCTTAATTAATATTTATTCTTTAATTTACTATTCAGTTAATAATTCAATTATTACCCTCTGGTCATTGATGATCTATTTTATTTGGATAATTTTTAAGCCTCTTATACAATGGTTAATCTTCTGCATATTACAAATTACAATATGAATAATCTGATTTATGTTGAAAACAAGGACATGTCTCATTAGAGATTGATTAAAAAAACCTGGATATAGTCTTTTTAAAAGGTTTTTGTTTTGCAAACATAACAATAAAGTATTAGAAATTAAGAAAAAAACAAGAACAGTGTTTGAGGAGAGGTGAGAATGCAATAAACTGAAATGCTTTCTAAATTGGTGAGATGACTTACTGCTGATCTCTTCCTTGCATGGTGTGGAGAGGAATGTATGCCTGTATGTGTGGAAATAGTATTTCATTTATTTTGAAGTTTTGTTACAATGTTTTATACTTCTAATGGAAAAGTGTTTGTTTTTTTTTTGTTCTTATTCATCTACATCTTAAGATGGAATATTCTAATTAGAATTTTATTTTGATTCACTAACAAGTTCTCACAGTTAATTGTATTTCTTAATTTTAGGTTCTAGTTTCACACCATCGTCCACTATTTATTCAAACAATTCTGTTTCAAATTCTACAAACTTCAGTAGTTCACAACAGGTATGAATATTGCCATTTTTATTTGCCAGTTACAAAAGGACTTGTATAACTCCAGAGATAGGATGTTATTTAAATTTAGATCTGTTATGCTGAATGAGATGCACTGTGGTTTAATGCTACTTTCTGTGGAAAATGATCAAAATCTTACTGGAAGCCTAGTTTTTTTTAACACTTAAATATTTCAGCAGCTTCCCTGTAGTCTTTTAGTAAATATCTTTAAATTAAAAAAACCTAAATATTCTTAAACTTAAAAAAAAAAGCTAAACCAAGTCTTCAAAACACTAGCAAAAGTCATATGACTTTACATTCTAATAGGAGTACACTCTATCTAATAGGAAAATATTCACTTATTATTGTACTTAATTGAGTTCTCTGCTGCATCTGCTGTTTCAGGATTATTCGTCATACACAGCTTTTGGCCAAAATCAGTATGCACAGTATTACTCAGCATCAACATATGGTGCATATATGACCTCAAACAACACGGCTGATGGCACTTCATCATCATCAACCTACCAATTACAGGACTCTCTCCCTGGCTTGACTAGTCAACCAGGTACAGATCTACATTCAGGTGAAAACAATTTTTTTATTTTATTCACTGTTTTTATAAGGAAAAGATTTTCATATTCAGCTTGCATGGATATTGATATTTTACATTTGTGTCTTTCAGAAAACTTTATCATGTAAACCACCCAAAATAAGCTTTTTTATTTTAGTTAGGAAACTTGTCCAGTTTGTTTGCTAATTAAAGAAAGCTTTTTGCAGACTCAAATGGTTGTCTGTGTCACTGGCAGTGGAACAGAGTTGTTTCCACCTACACATTCTGAAGTATTGCTGTGAAAAATTTAAAACAAGATACCAGTTTTCATTTAATTATGCCTTAGCCATGCTTGCAAGAGCACATGGGCTTTATTCAAATGTGTACAAGCCACACTTGCTAATTCACTAATTTAAGTAACAAGAAGTAGAGAAATTAGTTATTAGCACCACAAAGAAAAATTGTATTGAAGTAGTTGAATTTGCATGAGGAGCATTATCAGGAGACATGAGGAGGCTCCCTTTGCCTGCCCAGCCCTGCCCTCTTGTGCACAGCCACCACAGCACAGCAGCCTGCTACTTGTATTCCTAGGGCATCTCTGGAGGGTAGTGGCAGTTTTTAATTTTTCTTCAGCATTCTTAGAGTAGGCTCTTTCAAGGGCACCAGCTTCACTCATCCAGTGTGAGCAGTGTCTGCCATTTTTAAAAAGACTAACAAACTGGCTTTTGGATTAGATTCTGAATAGGATAGGAATTTATGCTTTAGTCACAAAATCACCTTATTGCATAGATCTTCCTAAAAACTGCACCATCTTATTGAAAAATACAGCAGAAGGCCTAATGTATTATTGTAATGAATTTGTACAAAGGAAAGGTAATGCTGTGTAGAATGGTATAAGCAAGGACTCACACATAATATAAACTGCTTAAATTTGCTAAAAATACGGGAATTTTAACTAAATTAGTTGAAGTTTTTCCTACCCAGATGCTTTCCTCAGGCTGATTTTTAAAATGCAACAGTGCATGTGTTTGTGGGTGTATGTTTGAGATAGGGTATTGATATGGATATGGATATGGATAGGGATATGAGTATGGAAGAGTGACGGGGAAATACATATTCCCTTGATTTTTGATGAAAAGTGCAATGTTATTCAGTAGTCTCAGAATGCAAATGTAGGAAGAACCTAAAGGTAACGTGAAATCAAGTGAAATTTCAACAGGTGGAGGATAGCTATAACAGACACAGATCATATGTAAAGAATTTTTAAAAGAGTATGGAGTGTACTCACAAGTGACGTGTTTTGATAACTGTTTATGTCCTGTGTGCTTTCACTTGCTGCTTTGTTATTCCTTCATATTCTTATTTGAGAAAATCAGTTTCCCATGTTGTTTTTCCCCTAGGTATCTGTTTCCTAGAAATGCTGTCTAAATGTGCCATGTATTTTTACAAATACCATTAGTATTGAATAGAATTGGCAAAAAAAAAGGAATCTTAAACAGCTTGAACATGTTGAAAAAATATTCACAGGCTTCACATCTGTGAAACAGTAAAGGTTTTTCTTGGTTGTGGATTGTTTGAGCATATGAGCTTGTTCTCTTGTTAAGAGGGTTGGGTATCTGAGTTTAACAAATCCGCCCCCATCTGCTCCATATTTCTGTGAAGGGTTGCAGTGGTCATGCAGCCCTCTGCTGAGAGTGAAACACCCACTTTGTGAATGCATGACATGCCTGTGCCCTTCTGTGTCACAGTAAAAATAAATTTCCATTGGTGAGGGGCAGTGTCTTGGAGATAATTTCAGATATCATAGATCATACTGCAGTCCTTTAGCACTCACTGTGTTCATTTGCTGTCAAACAAGTCCTTAAGACTTACTCCGACAAAACCTGAGACTAAACACTGCAAAGCACTTCATTCTTCTGGCATCTTTACTAGCTGTTAATTCAAATATCTAATCAAAGCCTCTAGTGCCATCTGCACATACAGGATTTCTCATTTGCATAATAAAGCCCCATCAGTTCAAGAGTTAATACCAGCTACAATTTTATTTATTGACTATGTAAAGAAAATGAGATGAAAATTGAAATAGACTTTGCTCTTTCTGCTATTCATGACAAGCAATAGCACACTATAAGTCAGAAAAAAAAAAAACAGGCTTGTAATGTTGAAGCTGTCTTCTGGCTGCTCTGTCTAGTAAGGATATGTAACAAAAGTCAATCCATAAGGAAAGTATGAAGGGGCTCAGAAATTCATCCATTTCACATCTGTATAATGTTCATCTCCTTAAAACAGGGACTTCTCTTCCAAGCTTGCATTGAGCTTGCCTTATATAAAGATTTTTCAAAATGCACTCATTACAATGGAGTATTTGTGAGATAAATAGGTGTCTTCTAGGGCACTTCATCTCAAACAGGGATAGTGCAGATAGACTGGGAAGTAAGGTATTCACATTGAGTATATTTGATGAGTACATGAGTACTGGGGCAAATAAAATTCTAGCAGAGGATGTAGGCCTGGATAAAAGCTTCCTGTGAACGCACCTTGCTATCATATATCCAGGGTTAGGGGAGGCAAATCACCATAGGATATTAGCTCCCATGCCATTACTGGGATGCAGCAAAGCTTAATTTGGTACCTACAATGAAGTCACCCTTTGCAGCTTCTCTGGGAGATGGCATTAGGTTTGTATTCAGACTGCACACATTCTTTTTTTCCTTCTTAAGTCATAGAACTGTGTTTTAACAAGGAGGAGGGGATGTTCACCTCATCAAACCAGAGGTGGAAAGCAATGTTCTGGATATGAAAGACCACCTCCATTTGTAATGTGGTGCCATAATTCCCTGTGTAACTTGGTGCTGTAATTCCCTGTCCTCTAGCTGGGGTTGCTGCAAGGTCTCCACAGCAAGAAAACTTTATATTGGAGAAGTGTATGAGTATGTGTAAGAATATGTGTGATAAAGATGTCATTCCATATTCTAGTTTTAACATCTTCCTCCTGTTTTCTTGGATCACTGGCACTGCTCGCAGTCCCAGTGGGAAGAGGCTGTGAGGTGTATTTATTAGGCATGTGTTGAATATTGAAAAAGCTAAAAAATTTCAAACATTATAATAAAAATTTCTGTTTAATATGAACTGCAGTAGGAGCTCTTCATGATGGTAATGTTTTCAGTATTCTTTGGTACTAGAATTTCTCATATGCTTTTATGTTACAGGGCTGAATTTTTAGTAAGTTTTCATTTTGTCAGCATTGACCTAATTTCTAAAGCAAACAGAGGATAAGAAAAGAGCAGTTTCTCTTTTAGACTTTTGTAGCAAATCAAGCAATTAAACCTACAGTTGTTTAAAAAACAAGCACCACTGACTTCTGCAGTTCTAAAATAGATGCATACCTTGCATTCAAGTAAGAGACAGCTGCTCATTCTGATTTAGAGATTAGTGTAATGAAATAAAGTTGGCTTTAAATATCTAGATTTTACAAGGAGCAGTGATTAGTTACAGTACTGATAAATAGATAATTATGCATTCATTGACCCAAGCAGAAGCCTGGAACAACTGGTAATGGCTAATGCTAAATGAAAATTGGATTTATTTACTTCAGTTGTTGGGTAATTTCAGAGATTTAGAAGAGGAGTTTTTTTAATATTTTGTTTTTGGTAGATTAGAATAAACACAGTCATTGAGAACAGATGTTTTAATACATTACTGTGGAAATGAGTCTTGATTTTGTTGTAATGTGTTGAAGTGTTATAAATAAGAAGACTTTTGTGGTAAGAATGTAAGCATTCATCTTCATTTTCTTAGTTTTTGCTTCTTCTTTCTAGGGATTTGGTTTTGTACAATTTTTCCACTTGATCAGAAAAATCTAGGAAAGTATTTTTGCACTGAGCTCTTGCACACTCAGAACTTATTTTAAAGCCATTGTAGGTTTTTGCTGCACAGGAATTCTGATCTGGATGCTTCTTGTACATTTGTAATTACCCAAGTACATTTTGCTGTTCTTATGGGGAAAGAGCCAAGATAATGTGATCCTTATTGATTGCTTCACTGCCTGCTGTGACCTTGCTGACATCAACACCAGGCTGGGAATAGAAATGAGTAGTCAACAAGAACTGTCTACTCTCCCCATTCTTTAGGGATTTCTGCCTGTGTGTCTTGTCCTTTATCTGCATATCTCTCTGAAAAGTCACTTAGCCTCTTTTACTACATGCTCAGCCCCCTTAACCACTGTGGTGACCCTCACCTGGACTAACTCCAGTTTGACAATATCTCTCTTCTAATTGGGGACCCAAAACTGCACATTTTTTTCAGATGTGGTCTTGCAAGTTCAGAAGAGAGAAGAAAAATCAGTCTCCTTTATCTGCTGGACACTCCATGATGCTCTTTAGTAAAAATGAAAAAAGAAGAATTCAGATTCCAATTCAAAATCTGATGCATCATAGATGATTTTTGGGAAATGTTTGTACCAAGTGTTAATTTATTCTGCATATTTGCCTTCATGAGCACTTTTAACAAATATTACCTGTGGCCCAGTAATGCTCAGTTACAGACAGCTCAAGGACTCTCTTGAATCAAAATCTGTAGTAGATATCAAATCAAAGCTGTACCCTCTCCTCCTTTACTGGAGAAAAGTCAAATCATTATTAATAGGATAAATTAAGAAGGAGGGGGTTTTGTCATTTTTTGTCACTCAGGAACCTAGCCAAACTGCATTTAATGCTAGAAGTTTTGAAAGCTGAAGATGCTAAGCCTCATTAAAAGAGTAAGTCAGGGATGTGTGTCTTGAGTGTGGTTAAGAGCAGCTATGCCGTACCAGATCAAAGGCCCTTCCAGCAGTTCTCTGTGACAGCCCACAATGCCTCATACTTAGAGAAAGACAATCAGAACACAGCAAGCACACTCGTCCTCTTTCAGGTACTAACTGGAATATTGCATTTAATATTATGACTTTCCTCTGACAAGTTATTGGCTGAGGTATGGTGAAGGAAAAAAGTTAACTGGACTGAAGAGCAGGTGACATGGGAGGAGGACATGAAACTGGAAGCTGCCTGGCTGTTCTGGATCATGGATGAGTGGCAAAGTGTGTTTTGGTAAAAGTAAAGCAGAACTTGGAAATAAGTCTAGCTGAACTGAAAACATGGGAAATTAACTACTTTAATTAAAAAGCACTTCATGTTTTGAGAAATCATTAGTATGACTTCTAAAATACCCCTGTCTTTCATATATTGGTATTTTGCCTGGGCTCATGTGTGTTTGTGCATCTGCAGATGTATGTGTCATTTTAATTTTTACCTTATTCTGCTATGGTTTATAGTGTTTTATTGGTAAAGCCAAAAGTGTGTGTGGCAGCTGCTGATCCATCTACATAAGATAAGCCACATTATCACTCATTTTGTACAACATTTTTACATGTCTTTTGTCTCTCCGTTTGCATACAGACATGTTGAACTTTGAGGTAAAAAAGTTGATTATTTAACAATCCAGTGCTAATTTTTACATGAATGGTTGCCTCTACAGGGGAGTTTGACACAGTGCAGAGCCCCTCCACGCCAATCAAAGATCTTGATGAGAGAACATGTAGGAGTTCTGGGTCAAAGTCTCGGGGTAGAGGGCGGAAGAATAATCCATCACCCCCTCCAGACAGTGACTTGGAGGTATGTCTGTGGTAATTGATGAATGTTAATGTGGAAGTTTCTTCTGATGAAGTGTAAATTCTGAATACTGCAGCTGTGAAAATAGCTTAAAGCATTTTAAAAGACATTATGGACTCAGTCTTACTAACTGAATGTAACAGAGAGTAGTAGCTGTTTTAATCCACATGCACAGTGAGATTTCACTGTTCTGCATTACGTGTCTGTCAGTTTCTTGTGCAATAGAACCACAAGCCTACTCAAAGTGTCACGTTTTCTTTTAGGTTTTGAAATAGTAAATCTCAAATATATCACTCAGATTAATTGCATGTACTTATGGATGCAATGTAAATATAAAGGGTCATCTGACCATAGACTTTTAAATATTTAGGCACCAGTTTTTGTAATTTTGTGTTTGTAATTTAGATCAGGAGATCTCAGTGAGGCAGCTTACCTCAGTGAAGTTATGGCTGTGCCTTGCAGTGGCAGGAGCAGCAGGAGGAAGCAGAGTGCCTGTGTGTGTGTGATGCTCCAGCTGTGGCACCAGGGACGTGCTGTGCTGCCTGCCAGTGCGTGTGTCCCCTGCTGCCACCAGAGCAGTGTGGCAAGCCAGCAGCTCTGGCCTGCCCCACTGCCCTGCCCTCATTGACCAGCCCTGGATACAGCACAAGACAAAATTGTTGCTGGGACTTGGCTGACCACATGACATCTCCTGGGGTAGCAGGGTGGGATGCAGGGCTAGGAACTGAGTATAAATGCCATTGCTTTTGTACAGAAACTTACTTTTTTTTTTTTTTTTTTTTTTTTTTTTTTTTTAAATTTTTTTTTTTTTTTTTTT